TGTTAACTAGTTGTTGTTGTTAAATTGTGTTAACACTTTTCATATTATTATTATTATTATTATTATTGTTGTAATAAGAAAAGGAAAAAAAAAAAGAAGAAAATAAAGCGGAAATATGGCTGACGTTGCGCACTTAAAAGAATATAAAGAAACCTTGAAAGAACTTATACCAGAAGTATGTCTTAGCGTTTAATCGGACAGCATCGGATAATGAAAAAAAAAAAAAAACACTGTTTTCATATAGTTCTTCTTTAAACTTCATTTATAACTTAATAACAGTTTATTATTATTATTAAAATTGTTATTATTATTATTTCTCTTTATTTCTTTAAAATATTTTCGAAAGACATAACGGTTGCCTAGAATTCAATTAAGTGCCTTCATTTATTTATAACGAATTCATTATACATATATACATATATATATATATATACGTATATATATGTAATGAGATGTTTTCTTAAATCTTTTTTAAATTTAATATCCGGAAAACAGTTGGATTAAAAGTGTATGAAATTAATTAATACTTTTCTTAAAAAAAAAAACATTTTTAATAAATTAATTTTTAATAAATTAATTTTTTTTTTTTTTGTCAACATCACCTATCGGAACAATTTTATACTTAAATTTGGTTTTTTGTTTTTTTTTTTTTTTTTTTTAATATCAACGCGTTTTTTTTTTTTTTTTTTTTTTTTCAGTTATCTTATCTGCGTTATTGAAAAGAACATCTACGAAATCAAAATGACTACAAGTTGTTATCGCATTTATTCGTATTCGGATTGAAATTTTTATGATAATTTATAATTTGCTAGCATAATAAAAACAAATATAAATAAATTCATTTAACTAAGCAACCTAGTTCTGGCCTTATCTTTAGCTTAATTAACCGAAATAATTACATGGATGTTACAATATTTTTGATTTTAGCACTTTCTTGATAATTCATTTCGGATAAAAGCCGTTAGTTAATTAACTGATTACTAAATCGATTTCATCGAATTCATGCCGTCCAATAGTAGCAACTTAGCATAAATCATTAAAATTTATATATGAAGATAAAAATTACGTAATTATTTTTTTGCACTCTACGCTCCACATATTTGGTACAGGGGTATATTAAGTTTGTGCGGATGCATGCAACACCCAGAAGGGCTTGAGATAGACTCATCTTTGTGAATCACTTTTTGTCTGTCTATCTATCTGTCCGTCCGTTCTTCCATCCACTTATTCTACCAATTTTTGAAATATTTCTTACACTATCGTGTTTCGGTTCAAAGGCAAAAGATATTGCATGTGATTCGGATCGTCGCGTAACTTGTTCAACTACTACTACTGCCGTATAGAGCGTGTTTTGCAAGCTTGTCATATGAATAACTGTAGAATACTGTAGAATACTGTAGAATTGAACACGTTCGCGAACGTGAATGCAAAACGACAATAGAAATGAATGGCTATAGCATTGATATTTTAAAGCCATTTATTCCAACTGATTTCATTTTATAGAACCCACGGAGTCAGATTTTTTCATATTATTTAATTTTTACTTAATGCGCCTTGAATTTCATAGAAAGCCAGCCGATTCTCTCATTGACCCTTATGCTTGTGCTATTATAACATTCGTTGTCATGTTAGTTGAAAAATTCGATTTGCATTGTCGTAGGTGCTATAGCATACATCGTATATAACGGTTAAAATATGATCATCTAACTACTCTGACAAAATGTGTTTAATTAAATTTCGGACATCATATAACCAGTTTTCAAATAAATTAACTGTAATTTTTTGCACCTAACTAAAATTTGAAATGGTGCGCGCGCGATCCGCTGTAGTGTTTTTATTTGTTTATTTAAAAAAAAAAAAAAAAAAAAAAAAAAAAAACCCCTTATTTGTTCAATAATTTTTAGTTTGCTTAGTCGATTCTTGACATTTCGGATAATAACTGACTGTTCACTCACTACTCTGTAAGTACTCAGCGAAACTTAAAAGTTATGTGTTCCGTAACTTATTTCAATTTCTTGAGTAATAGCAAATATTGCAAAGTTATTTAACATTACAGCTGCTAATCGATTTCGATATACCGAGCCAGTCCCATTTTTTTGTTTTTCTTTTTATTTTATTTTTTTTATTACATTTTAATTAACCGAAAAAGAAGAACTTTTTCTTTTTAAACGATATTTTTCGTTTTATCATCACACACTGGGCGCAAACATTGTTTCGGTTAATTAAATGTATTACCGCAAAATTCATTTCAATTACTTTTCAAAAAAAAAAAAAAAAAAAACAAAAATATTTTCATCACATGCATTATTATTGCAAAAATGTTTTATTACTCATAACTGCTACTGCATAGTTAAAAAGATTCCTTATCGCAGAGCAGCTTATTTTTGCCATTTATCTTCTAAATTGAACAAACAAATTACTTGAACATTAATGCATTAACTGCTTTTGTCTTCAAACAAAACAAAATTATTGTAAATTCGCATACCATATACACATATGCATATATATATATATATATATATATATATATTTACTTTAATAAATAAATCAATCAATTAATAAAAGAGAATATCATGCAGCAGAGCCATCTATTGTTGCAATTAATTCTTCTTCTTTTCTCATTTATTTGTGTTTTTACTACTATGCGTTAGTATCTAAGCCACAATATTACTTCAGATAATACCAATAGATTGAACAAAGATTTATTATCGAAGCAGTGGAGGAGAGAAAAGCATTGAAATCAATTTTATTGACATAAAAGCCATGCTTTGCATTCAAATAAATTGCATTTTACTACCCTACCACACTACTTGTGGTACGAGGTTACATTAATTTTGTACAACATCTAAAATGATTTGAGATAGATTCACTTTTTAATATACCGAAAGTGATTTTGAATCGATTTAAGATTGTCCATCCGTCTGTCCATCTGTCCACCTTATTTCCCATTGTTCAAACTATACAGATCGCAATTTTTTAGATATTTTGAGAACAGTTGGTACACTTACATGTGACATCGGACTCAAGGATAGAAGCTATCGAAATTGGTTCGGATTTTTAAGGGATCCTGCTCATGTAAGTTCGAATCGAATGCAATGTCCATCTTTTTCTTCAACCATATCGCGGTAAAAATTATAACTCGGTGATGAAATGACGCATATTGAACTAACTGCTTTGCCAAAGCTATGTAGCGACCTTTTGTAACGTAACGGTCATCAACGGTCATTCGAACACCTTTTTAATGAAACCACGTACAGATCTCGCCTTGCATGCAACACATTTCATGTAGAGATCAACTGACAATTGGCTACACTAACATCATTAAATGACGACACCGACTCCAAAGGCTCCCCATCTAAGATATACTCAAACAGCAGATACTCTACCGAATGACATGGACTTACATTTTTTTATATTCAACGACATGCCAATTACCTTTTGAAATTTGGTGGGGAGAGAAAAGCCTTAACACCATCAGCATACAATAGTACTCTCGAATATTGAATTCTGCAAATCATTTATAAATAAACAAAAGAACAGCGATCCCAGATAGCTCCTCTGCGAAGCTCCAGATTTCATCATTTTGGATTAAACCAAAAAGACACGGCCAGCAAGGTCTAAGATATTCGTAACAGTGGATTTGCTATTCACAAAATCATGTTGACCTAATGAGACAATCGATTTAATATTTTGAACAATTTTCTCATCAATTTGGCAAAATATAACAGATATCGGGAAAAATTTTGCCAGTGCAGGAGAAGATTGAAAATATCCTTAATCGGTGTCACTAAAAGGTTCGCGCAAGTGTTTAGGATACTCAAAGGGACGCCATCCGGACTGGGGAGACAGAAAAAGTTTTTCGCTATAAAAAACTTCAGAATCCGACAAATCCATATATTGAGGAAAATGTGATAATTCTCAATAGAATAGGAGTTGATCAGTGATAGATCAGAAAGATAGAAGAGTATCCGTAAGATGCATGGAAAGAAAAATTGAAAAGCATTTAATACTGGTACTGCAACGGCCTGTTGAATATTAGGAAGAAAGTCAGACATTTATACCAATAGCCGATTAAGAATCATAGCACATTCCATTTACCATAAAGCGAGACTTGAAGTGTATTTGGTGCTGCGCCCTGAAATACTTATTAACTGCTGGTGTGTGTGTGTGTATATGTGTGTGTATATGTGTGTGTATATATATATATATGTGTGTATATATATATGTGTGCGCGCGCGTGTGTGTGGGTTTAGGAAGTCAAAAATTAATGCACAATAAAACGGGTTTTATTTTGATGATTAAGTTTTATTTACGACATAGCACTTTGCGTGTTAAGAGTTTTCAAGAAAACTTATTGTGTTTGTTTGTTCATATCAGCAAGACTTCATCACACCGTCGGGTAAACGGAGGG